TGTTCGTAGCTGTTTGATCCACACTTCAACGTGGTTCCAACCAGACTTCTGTAGAAAGTGGACTGTACACTGAAGCACTTTTTCTGGAGTTTGGCAACACATTAGCGATTAACATTGACTTCTTTGTTCTCACTGGCTCGGTGCAGCTTGCTTAATGCGACTCTTCGCTCGCCTTTAGTGGTAACAATGCTTATTATGAGTTTATTTTGTTTGCTGCCACAGAGCCGAGGTTAGCTACTGAGAGGAGGTGATCTGCACCGCTGGAGGATAATGTTTAGCCACAGCAGCTAGCCAGCGCAAGCTCATAGTTTGTACCCTGGCATGGTGCCTGTTAGTGCCATGTATTCCAACCGGTTTGCAAGCAGCACGTCGGCGCAGGTTGTTTTTCACGCCCTGTTACATGTAGCATGCTTCTGACTTGGTAAGCTTTAGTGGGAGAGGAAGGAGATAGCTGAGCCAACAGATTCTGGGTCAGTCAGGAGTGGTGCAAAAAACAAACCTTTGGTGATAACCAGATCATGTGGACTGGAATCACGCTTTCTAAATAAAAAGATAAATCTTTCAGCATTATCTACAACTAACGGATATTTTATTAAATTATTAAGCCGTCAATTATTTTTTTAAGAATAGGATACAATAAAAACACGAATTTCCATCCCTTCATTCAAAAAATTTTAAATGTATTCAAACAATGCAAAAATGCGCAAGCATAAATTGATTTATAATTCAATGACTAACTCCTTAACATGTCAGAAAATAGGCAATAATGTTGATCGTTGTTTTCCAAAGTAAAATGAAATGTTTTTAAATGTCTTATTTTGATTAGACACAGAGTAACAATCAGTCATGGCCGACGGCAGAAATCTGAAAATATTTGTCTCGAAATGATTTATCTTTCATCAAAATAGTTGTCAATTCAATAACAAATTTGCTGTTGATGAATTTATGAACTTCTAGAACAAAGTTTTATGCTTCAGATGTTTTTGTTGACCTTTCTCTCTCAGGGAATGACAGAGTGCTATGAGTGCCAACCGAAACCTGCCCAAAAGACCTTCCCAGGGTGCACTATAAGGAACACACCATCTGAACCCATTCACTGCATTGTTTGGGCAAAATATCTCTTCAAGTGAGTCTGTCAGCTAATCGATTGCAGCACCAATTTTGACCCAACAAAAATATACACCTATCGTCAATTGTCGAATGGGTGACCAGAGATGTTCTACAAATGAGGTCCTTTTACAATTTGCTGTTCCAGCCAGCTATTTGGAGAGGAGGATGCAGATCAAGATGTGTCACCTGACACAGCCGATCCAGAGGCTTCATGTGAGTTTGGGCTTTTCCGTTTTTCATCAAATTCAACCGATCGTAGTTGCTCTAATTCAGGCTTGCTCGCTACTTTTGTGTTCAGCAGCTGTTAACTGCTAATATGAATGCCTCAAGGGAAAAATGTGTCTCCAAATTTCACAGTGAAACTTGTATTCTTTCAAACAGGGAACCCCGAAGAAACGGCAGCTCGCGCCACAGCCGCAGAAATGGATGGAGACGTCAAGCGCGTCTCTACCAAGCAGTGGGCCCGCAGCAACAAATATGATGCCATCAAACTCTTCAACAAGGTACCAACTACCAGCCATGCAAATAATTGCATGACATAACATTGACTGCAATATCCACAACCACCAGCTTGAGCAATATTTTTTTCCACATAATGTGGCTTTGTGTAGTGTCGTATTTAGTAGAAAAAAGTAAGATACACAGTGGCTTGAAAAGGTATTTGGCCTCCATGAACTTTGATTTTTGTCACATTTCAGGCTTCAAACATAAAGGTAAAACAGGAATTTTTGATGAAGAATCAACACCAAGTGAGACACAATGCTGAAGTGGAAAGAAATTCATACAATATTTAATTTTTATTTTTTTAAATAAACTGGGATGATATTTTTCCCCATTCACTGTGAGTGCAGCCAACTCACTCCATAAATTGTGATTTCAGGATTATACAATATTGACCTAAATGACTGATGACGATAAATAGTCCACCTGTGTAATCCAGTCCCAGTATAAATGCACCTGCTCTGTCATTGTCTCAGAGGTCATTTAATTAATATTGGTGAGCAAACAGCATCATGAAGCCCAAGGAATACACCAGCCAGGTCTAGATGAACTTGAGAAGCTTAAAGCAGGGTTTGGATCTAAAAAGATTTCACAAGCTTTAAACAGCTCGCGGAGCACTGTTCAATCAATCATATTTAAATGGGCAGAGTATCAGATCACCGCAAGCCTACCGCGAACTGGCCATTCCTCGAAACTTTTAGCTCAAACAAGGAGAAAGAGCTGTGATCAGAGATGCAGCCAAGAGGTCCATGATTACTTTGGAAAAAGTGCAAAGATCTACAGCTGAGGTGGGGGAATCTTTCCATAGGACAACTATTCGTCGCAAACGGCACAAATCTGGCCTTTATGAAAGAGTAGCAAGAAGAAAGCCATTTCTCAAAGAAATCCCTAAAACATCCCAGTTGAAGTTTGCCATAAGCCACTCGGTTAATAGAATAAACATGAGGAACAAGGTGCTTGTGTCAGATGAGACCATAATTGAACTTCATGGGCAAGAGGCAAAGCGGTAACTTTGGCGTAAAAGTAACAATGCACATCCAGAACACACGGATGACTATCAAACGCTGTGGTGGCAGCATCATGTTCTGGGGCTGCGTCTCTTCAGGAGGGACAGGGAAGATCGCTTGAGCCATTTTGGAAGGCATCCTGTTCGGAGTCTGAAACTGGAATGGAATTTATTTTCTAACAAGACTATGATCCTAATCATAAACCAAAATGTTTTATTCTATTAAGTTGCAACAACAGATATCATTGTAGTATACAGAAAAAAATATCGGTCTCAGCCATACCAATTAGGAAATGATCGGTAAAAAAATTTCATATCATGCACCACTCCAGTTCAGCTATTTCTTTCGAATAAAAAGTTTGAAATATGAAATTTGTTCCACTTCACAATTGTGTCCCACTTGCTGTTGATTCTTCAATAAATACAATTTCATATCTTTGTTTGAAGCCTGAAATGTGGCAATAGGTCAAATTGTTCCAGGGGTCCGAATACTTTCGAAAGCTGCTGTATCGGTTGTGACGTGTTACCTTTTGCTGAAGTGTAAGTGAATTGAGTGTCACTACTCACGTGCTATCATTGGCACTTGTTCTCCAGCTTTTCAAAGATGACATAATGTACCTGTTAACTATGGACAAGCTGTGGAAGAAGAGGAAAGCTCCGACACCACTGGACTGGCAGCAGCTGGAGAACACTGGTATGTTGATCATTTTTTGTCACGGATCACTCCAGCAGTTGTAACCAAATATATGAAAATACTGTACTGGTAATGGTGGTTTATATGTATATTTAGATTAATTTATTATTGTAAGCCACTTCACTGCGTGTTTGAGTGACTTTGGTATTTGGCCTAGGATGTTTCCCGGAGGAGTCCTCAGGTTCAGGTTTAAAGGACCAGCAGGTCCTTGGTGTTTGGGGCTACTGTAAACTATTCCAGGAAAGTGTGGAGACCCTCCACTCTCTGTTAGATGAGAAAGGCGACGGCGCAGAGCTCGTCTGGGATAAGGTAACACGTTTTAACGCGTCTTTGGAAATGATCTGGTTTACGTTGAGGTTATATCGTACGTAATTTCAAGTTTGCTGTGAAAATACATTTCGTACATTCAATTGCACACACCGAGTATGTTATTTCCAGCAAACCAAATTCACTGGAACATAAAATTAATGTGACTTAATGCAACAAGTGGAAAAGTGTGCTCCCCGCCTTTTTAAACGTGGCTGCTCCCGATTAACCAATTGCGTTCTTACCCTGTGTCAATGAAGTTCGTAATCTAGAAAACGCATTTTGTCATTTGCACGATTTTACCCATGGAAATTTTAACAAGCTGAAGGTGTTAGGTGTAATATATTGTAACTGTCTTGAATCCGTGCGTTGATATTGGCCTCGCAACACAGCGACACGTTTTCTACACTTTTAAAATGCACTGTTGCGATGTGTATTCAATACCACAGTTGCTATGTTTTGACTGACTTATTAACATTAGTCCCTGCTTGTCTTGTCAGGATGATCCTCCTTCCATGGACTTTGTTACCGCAGCAGCCAACCTCCGAATGTACATCTTCAGCATGAACATGAAGAGTCGCTTTGATGTCAAGTGTAAGTTGGTTTCTTTTTGTGTTTCCATGTTGAAAACATGAGCAGGTTTCGGGACGACTGGATGCCTTTAACTGAATTTGCTGTCCCAGCCATGGCAGGTAACATAATCCCAGCTATTGCGACAACAAATGCTGTCATTGCTGGACTCATTGTGCTAGAGGGACTCAAGATTCTTGCCGGAGAACTGGAATCCTGCCGCACGGTTAGTTCATCCACCACTTGACATAATGAACTACACAAACAATTATTGATCAGACAGTACTTTAGCCACTGGCTTTTACAATGTCTTTATTTGTATTTCTGGCATTTTCTCAGCTATGCATGTTCAGTCAAGTTTACTGGTGGTCTTGTTAGGTCAGAAGGCGCTTGGCATTTATTCAGAACAAAACGTTCTCTCAGTGTGGGATGCAGAAACAAGATGAGTGATCAGAGATCCTTAATATTTGTCTTCTCCAGATCTTCCTGAACAAGTGTCCTAACCTCAGGAAGAAGTTGCTCGTTCCATGTATCCTGGACCCACCTGTGGCCAACTGTTATGTGTGTGCCAGCAAGCCTGAAGTCAGTGTCAAAGTCAATGTCCACAAGACGACGGTTCTCTCCCTGCAGGACAAGGTGATTGGCGAAGCATACCATAAACTTTGACAACCAAAGACGATGTCACTCCCTAACCATTGATGGGTTGTCTTGCAGTTCATCCTTTTCATGCCTTTCGTTATTGTTGTTGCATTCAGATTCTGAAGGAGCGGTTCGGCATGGTCGCTCCAGATGTTCAGATAGAAGATGGAAAAGGGACCATACTCATCTCCTCAGAGGAAGGCGAGACCGAAGGTAAAGACTGTCCAGTCGTAATGAAGAAGCACCTTGCTGTTGCTCTTAGGAATGGTTACTGGCGCATTTTCAAGTGGTAGCATTCTAATGAATGTACAAAACGTGCATTGCTGTATGTGCTCAGACTGTTCAGTTCTTCCTTTCTTGCGTAATAGCCAACAACAACAAGTTTCTTTCTGACTTTGGGATCCGTAATGGCAGTCGACTACAAGCTGACGACTTCCTCCAAGACTACACACTCCTCATTAATGTCTTGCACACGTATGTCACCAATATAGTCATAATATACAACTTCGTGTGTACAACTTTAGTGCCCTTCCTGTCCTTTGGTTAAAAAAAGTGTGTTTTCATTGGTAGTGAAGAACTAGAGAGGGATGTTGAGTTTGAAGTGGTTGGTGAAGCTCCAGACAAAGCACCCCCGCCCCAAAACAACCAGGGAGAGGGATACGGTATCACCAACGGCAATAAGGACTCTGCCCAGCCATCTACCTCCTCTAAAGGTCAGTAATAGAAACTTTTTTTTCTTTTTTGCTCGTCTCGGACACAAATGTATTTGCAGTATTTATGTTATGTAATACAGAGATGAAAGTCCTCCGGATTTTCCCGGAATTCCGGGTTTTTCAAATTTTTATGAAAATTTCTCCGGAGAATTGAGGAAAATAAAATAAATAATAAAATTAATCCGGATATTAGTTGAAAACATTGAACGAAGACGCGTTTGAGTTCGTTGTATTGCTTTCACGAGCGTAGCCATATTGAGGCACTAACACTAGTAACGGTAAAGAGATTTTTGTTTGTGTAATAACGACAGAAGACATGATGGCGTTTGACTATTGGTTTAGTAGAACCAATGGCAACTCGCAACAACAGTAGCAAGCGTCATTTTGCCTCTTGGGTTATACCATCTCAACTAGAAGGTGGGGGATAGTCCCCAAACAATTTTCGTCTCTTTATAAACACACCTGCTAAACCCCAGTGGAACGAATAAAAGACGCCGTCAACAAGACAGTTGTAGTAAAAAATATATTTGGCCAAAAAGGGAAAAACA